TCTCTCTCTCTCTCTCCTCCACCCTTCCCCTTCCCAACACATGCACTCACGCATAGGCTACACACGCGCTGCGCTCTCCTCTTTCTTCCTCGCTTTCGTTCTAAGAAACCAAATCCCCACAGTAGCCACAAGAAGACGAGCCTCGCCTAGCGGTATCTTCTGTTTTCTCCTTATAGTTCCAAAAGATCTAAAGCATGGTTGTATGTAAAAACCAAAGGCTGGAGCTACCCAGATCGTAAATATTCTTCTCCAAGTTCTGAGATAACATTTATATAAATCAGTTCTCATGGTTCGCCACATATTACTCTACTTGGGTGCTCCCAGAAAACCTAAATCATCCCGATTAATTTTTTTTGGGGGGGGTCATTCATCTGTTTAAGTTATACACTTGGTTTACCTTTGCCTCTTACGACATAATTGCAGATTAAACAACAACAACAACAACAACAACAACAACAACAACAACAACAACAACAACAACAACACAAAAACAACAAGAATAGCAAGAACAACAACAGCATCAACAACAGCAGAAATAACAACAGCAACAACAAAACAACCCGAAAACATTAAAACAGAACAGACTAACTCACTAACTCCCCAGTAGGGCACACAATGACCCCATTGTCTCATCATTAGGCTGAAGCGAAAATCCTTCTAAAACGAACTGAATGAAAAATGTTCGGGTACTGATCATTTGGAAAATGCCGGTAGATCCTGCGGGCCTTTATTTTCTCTCTGCTGTTTCTGCCTCTTTGCTTGGTTATTGTGTTGCTTTTCTTATCTCTCGGTCTGCTCAGAGGAATAAACAAACAAATCGTTGCTGCGAAGGTGGAATATGCATTCAGTCAAGCAGACTACTCAAGGCAGATTCTGTTTCGGTTTTGGAAAGCATCGAATCTGCGCTGCCTGTGGGGGGATAATATTTTCGCAACATGTGTTGCAATTTTGGATGGGGGTAAAAGGGGGAGGCACTGTACACCTTAACGATTGATTTGTTTCAGAATACCGGAGAGTGAGAGAGAGAAGGGGCAGGGAGAGAGAGGGAGAGAGAGACGGAGAGAGAGAGACAGAGAGACAGAGAGACAGAGAGACACAGAGAGAGCAGAGAAAAGAGAAGAGAAGGGAGGAGAGAGAGAGCAAGTGATTAAGAAAGAGAGAGAGAGAGAGAGAGAGAGAGAGAGAGAGAGAGAGAGAGAGAGAGAGAGAGAAGGAATACGAAGAAAGGAGAAAGAGGGGGAGAGAAAAGGAAAGAGAAAGAAAGAGAAGTGAGGGAGAAGGAGGAGGAGAGACAGAGAGACAGAGAAAGAGAAAGAGAGAAAGAGAAAGAGAAAGAGAGGGTGAGAGGAGAAAGAGAGAGAGAGAGAGAGAGAGAGAGAGAGAGAGAGAGAGAGAGAGAGTGAGAGAGAGAGGCGGGTGAGGGGGATGGAATGGGAGCAGAAAAAAGGTTGTTTAAAAAAATTCAGTTTGAGTAAAGAGAAACACTCGAACCCAACAATTGTCTTTTAGATTAGGGAAAGAGCAAGACATATAGAAACAAGAGACAGAAAAGAAGTAGGCCTATATCCTACGGCCAACCACCCAGACCCATAAAACACGAGAATGGAAGAGTTTTGAAAAACGGTTAAGCCCTATGCATTGTATAATGAACTTTGGGACTTCCATCTTTCTTCTGAGTTGTTTTATTTTTAATTTATACTTTGTTCTTCTAGAACGTCAATACAATATCGGCATCGACATAGGATATGTTTGGAACTAAGCAGGGATCACAAAATTTATAAAGTTCCTTGTTTTGTTATTCGGATTTTCCCCATGTCCAAAGGCTACGTCTCTTCGTTTCTCAAAGGCGAGCGCTGAAAGATCTAGATCTAGTCGTTAAGCACCTCAAGGCACAGCAACTGAATGCTTCTATAACAACAATGATGATGACGTCAGTCGCTTGGCTGAGATAAGGACCTCTAGTGGATTGTGCGAATGGCTGAGGGCGTAAGTTATACTTATACATGAATTACCATAAATAATTTAGAATGATAAGTGACTTTCGACAGAGCCGTCAGTTTCTTCTAATCCCACGTACTACATACTTTTACTTTGACTTTTACTTTTTTCTTCCGCTTGTACCGGGGGGTGTCGCGGGGAGACACAGGCGTCTGTCTGCAGCAAGGCGAGTGGCCTGTAGGAGGGACATCCCGTGAGCTCTGAGGGTGTCTGTCACAGATTCACTCCATCGTCGCCTTGGTGTTCCTGTGGCTCTCCATCTAGAATATTTAATGTTGTATGCTCTCAGAGCTGGATGGTTTGAGGGCATCCGCTTGAGGTGTCCGAACCACTTGACCTTTTGTTTTTCAATGTGTGGTAGGACTGGTGCTGCTCCTACGGTGTCCCTTATAAATTCATTTTTTTATTTTGTCTCTTCTTGTTTTGTTGACCGCTCTTCTTAAGCATTTCATCTCGCAAGTGACCAGTTTCCTCTCTAGGGCTTTTGTTAGGGACCATGTCTGGAACTGATATGCGAGTGTTGGAAGGAAAATGGCGTTGATGAGCTTCGCCTTGGTGCTCATGGGGATATTGGGATGTTTCAGGAGAGGGCCGAGATAGCTGACTGCGTTGGCTCTCTGGCATCTAAGTCTCTATTTCTCGATCTAGATCTAGATCTAGATTCTAGATGTAGATCTAGATCTAGATCTAGATCTAATTTTCCATTTTCTGTGAACATGCTGCCCAAGTATTTGAATTCTTTGCTTTGTTTTAGTTGGGATCCGTTGATGTTGATATCCGCTTTGTCTGGTCTCGTTGACGTTGACGTTGACGTCTCCTGCTAATTGTCACGACTTCGGTCTTGCTGATACTGATCTTCATGTCATATCTCTCGCAGCTCGCATTTAGATGGTTCATATGCTCCTGCAGCTGGGTCTTGTTGTTCATCATTGCCAGGTCGTCTGCAAACATGAGTTTGTTGAGTGCCTCTGGGTCTGGATTGGCCTCCTTTGTAATCTGGTCCATGTAGATCACGAAGAGCAGAGGGCAGAGATTGCAGCCCTGTCTCACTCCGGATGTTACAGGAAACCAGTCCGATGTTCAACTGGTAGTGCGGACTGCGCTTCTGCCGTTGGCATAGATAGATCTAGCCCTGATGTTGTCTAGCAGTTGTCCCTTGATGTCGTACTGCTCTAAGATCTTCCATAGCTTGTTTCTATTTACTCGATCAAAGGCTTTTTCGTGATCCACAAATACGAGATGGAGATCTTTGTCGTATTCCAAAGCCCTCTCACACAGTTGTCGGAGTGCAAAGATTGCATCAGTGCACCCTCTTCCTTTTCTAAAACCAAACTAGGCTTCACTAAGAAGATGTTCGGCTTTTGCGCGAGTGCGTCGGCCTAGAATCTTTGCCTACATTTTCCCCGCATGGCTGAGAAGAGATATGCCTCTATAGGTGTTGCAGTCTTTCTTGCTGCCCTTTTTCTTCCATATTGGCATCACTATCGCATTTTGCTAGTCTGCTGGTACTTTTCTTTCTTTCCATGCTTTCTGGAAGATGATTGTAAGACAATGTATTCCGGTTTTACCGCATGCAAGGATGGCTTCGGTTGTGATACCATCGTCTCCAGCTGCCTTGTACTACATGTGCGTTGAAATCGTATGTCTAGATCTAGATACTTACTTGGATACTTGGATGTAGAACTGGGGTCTTAAGGAGGTGGGTTGCTCCATGCTTCTTCGCCCCTCTTCATGAGGGTCCATTTCAGTGTGGGCAGGCTGATTGTCTCTATCATCAGCTGGTTGTTGAAGCGTCTGATGGGGTCACGCCGCCTGCTCCTCCTACCTTCACCAGGCTACACTCCTTTCGCAATCACCACCTCCTTCGCGAAAGAGTCCTCTTCACGGCTGCTGGCTAGGTGTTCTCGGACAAGGACTACTACAGTTGGAGGGTCAAAGCACTCCCTCTATGTTTGCAGGGCCTTCTAACTTATCTGCTCTTTAATTTCCCTTGACTCCTGCATGTCCTGGGCAGAAAATCCACTGCAAGCGTCTGATTTTGCTACCTTGGATTGTCTTAAACCAATCTGCATAGAGGCTGCTGGTCAAGATCTTATCCATAGTATTCACTGAGTCCGCAACAAAGGTAGCCTGCTGGTATCCATTAGTGTAAAGCCATTTCAGAGCCTCAGTGATGGCCTTGATCTCCATGCACATGCTAGATGTAGTGAGGCCCATTGCCCCAGATGCCTCCTGTATTGTTACTCCTTGGCAAGAAGCAGTGTAAGCACAGCCTGATTTGATCCCACGCTGAACAGAGCCATCAGGGAGATGGCTTCATCCTCTCTGCAGTTCTCTTCACTTAGAGTCTGGATTTCAGCTTGCGTTGCTCCTCCAGGTTTTTCACGACGTTCACGCCCTAATGAAGCAATCACCTGAGTGAATCTGTCTTTCACCTCGTCTGCGAGCTGTACCCATTTCTCCCCTCGTCTGATTGCCCCCACAGTGAGACCACACTCTTCAATGGTTTGCACTGCATGGGTCATCCACTCCATGCCCCGTTTAAGTCTTGGGTTAGTCTGACAATCTACTTTGTCATGAAGAGGATTCTGTGGATCTGTGCAGACTTTCAGATAAGCTTTGACCTGTGCAAGCTTGTGTCTTTCGTTCATGCCGGGTAGGCCTAGCACATATCGCATTGCAGCAGCTGAGGTATCTTTTGTTCAACCGAGTCTGGCTCTCATTCCTTCGTTCTGGATCACGTCCAGCCTTCTAAGTTGCGTTCTGGACAGTGTCAGCAGACCAAAACCATAATCTACTTGAGACAAGACAAGCATGTCAAAGAGCAAGACCAAATTTCCCTGCGGCATCCTGTCTCTCGCGTTCACTTTCACTGCATTCAGCCCTTTTCTGGCCAGATCTAGATCTAGTAATTACAATGGGAGGCTAAAACCTTCAGCAGGACAGAATGTTGCTTTAGGCCTGATATAGCCAAAGTCCATAGTTATTTACACTCATTATCC